TAGCACAAGAAGGAGAATGATCAAGCTTTAGACGATACATCCCAAGTTAGACGAAAAGCCAACATAAGTACCAAACAAGGCCAAATCAAGAACAAGACAAAAGTCGGTTAAGCACCGGATGAAGTTTTTACAAACATCAGATGAAGCCTAATGGTCAACCAGACGAAGATAAGTCAAGGCAAAGCATACCACAAAAATCAGACAAAGCAAGTCAAATGATAGATAAAGTAAGACATAAGCGCCAGATGAAGATAAATCAAATATCAGACGAAGATGAGTCAAGGCACCCCTCAACATAAGGATCACACGAAGAGTAAATAAAGCTGAATGATAGATGGAATATGAAATGTGCACCAGACGATGATAAATCAAATATCAAACGAAAGTGTGTCAAGGACAACCTAGAGCGCAACATAAGAACTCAAACGAAGGTTGATCAAAGATCAGAAGAAATTCAACTAAATATTAGACGAAGGATAGTATAGACTGAAAAGTATTTTAGACGGAAACAAAGTTTGTCCATCTACAATGTTGACCAGACCAAAGAAAGTCAAAGCAGTAATGACTAATGCTCAGACAAAGATCAAGACTTGAGATGCATATTGACTATCAAACGCAGACGAAGACTACCATGCATGTATTTAAAGAATCAAGTCTCAAAGGACAAATCATACATCGTCTACGACCATACAAAAGCTCTCAATATGATTGTGCAATGAAAAGAAGAAAAGCAAGCGCAAAAGTGAAAGCATGCATGTGTCAGAAAAAGTACATTACTTTTTCAGATAAGGATAACGCTTTGCAGCTACGATGACCGAAAAAGGACAAAAAGTTCCTAGGTCTCAATTAAAGTCAGACACAACAGCTAACAAACGTAGAAGACTTCACGCAATGTCTATAAATAGGAAGCAACATTTAATGCAATATCTAATGCATTAAATGAGAAGATCAAACTAGTCATGAACGACTACATCCTACTTCAACGGACATTTGCAACAGGAAAATTTTACAAGACTATATATATGTCATAACTTCAAACCTGGAAAGGTTGGCGTTGATAAAGAGTGATATCAAGCCCATGAAGCAATGAAACCAGAGACAGAGCTTATAGATTCAAATGTACCATAGTGTATTTATCTCTGTAGACTAAGGAGTTCTAAGTGTAACTTAGGAACATGCACCTTAGTGAGTGTATCAAATATTTGTATCTTCTCTGTGAGAGTAAACCAAACACTCAAACCAAACCATATATCTATCATTTGTAAAGTGTGAAGAGGCTAGGGAAAAAATACTTGTATAAGCCTAGAGGCTTGTCAAAGAATACTCACTACGAGCCTGAAGAGGCTGAATAAAGAATACTAGCGCTAATGAGTGAAGTTAGCAGGCTAGGAGTGGTCGAAAATCCTCACTGAGAGCCTGAAGAGGCTGAACAAAGAATACTAGTACTAATAGCCAACCCAGGAGTGGTTGATAATACTTGGGATCATGAGTGGCCGAGAATACTCACTGAGAGCCTGAAGAGGTTGAACAAAGAATACTAGAGCTAATGAGTGAAGTTAGCCAACCAGGAGTGGTTGAGAATACTTGGGACCAGGAGTGGCCGAGAATACTCACTAAGAGCCTGAGGAGGCTGAACAAAGAATACTAGTGTTATTAGCCAACTAGGAGTGGTTGAGAATACTCGAGACCAAGAGTGGTCGAGAATACTCACTACAAGCCTAAAGAGGCTGAACAAAGAATACTAGAGCTAGTGACTAATGCTAGTCAACCAGGAGTGGTCGAAAATACTCACTACGAGCCTAAAGAGGCTGAACAAAGAATACTAAAGCTAGTGAGTGAAGCTAGCCAACCAGGAGTGGTTGAGAATACTCAGGACCAGAAGTGGTCGAGAATACTACTACTAGCCTGAAGAGGCTGATTAATGAATACTAGCGTTGACGAGTGAAGTTGGTGAGCCATAAGTGGTTGATAATACTTGGCAAACCAGAAATGGTAATAATACTTGTACTTCATTGAAAATCTAGTGGAACTCTTCAATTAAAGGAGACTGGACGTAGCTCAATTTTGAGCGAACCAGTATAAAAATATTTGTACTACTTTTCTATGTTTCAAACACGGTTTCGTTTAGTTAATTTATGATACTAAAAACTTCGTCTAATGCTTATTGTTCATTACAACTATCTTCAGACGAAAACCACACTTCTTTAATTTATTATCTTAAAGAGCAGTTTTCGTTTAAGAAGTATTTTCCCTGTGCAGACAATAAACTCTCAGACGCGCTTTCATTTAGTTGATATATCATACTGAGGATTTCATCCATTGCTCATTTTGTACTAAAACTATCTTTAGACGAAAACTGCATTTTTTTAATATCTTAAGAAATAGTCTCATTTTAAGAAGTATTTTCCTTGTGCAGACAGTAAATCTTCAGACGCAAAATATTTTGTTAAACTAACTCTGCACAGTTTTTCTAAGCAATCAGAATAATTTTTACTAGAAGAAAAAGAGCTTCTTTGCGAAAATGTTTTTAAAATTCCTTTATTCACACACATATTCAACCCCCTGCCTTCTATGTGTTTATTTCGGTAATTTTAAATAGTTTTTTTACTTTTTTGTTTTGGCTTATAGAATTGTGGTTACAAACTTAAGAGTTACGGTTAGCAACTATAAGAGTTTCTTCACTCTCATTGCGCCTTTGTTGACTTGACCTCGTGACTCGTCATCTCTATTCCGTTTGTCAAAGAAGACAAAGAAGCAATCACACCCATGATTGTGCTCATGATGTCAGGATAAAAGTAATAAAAGTATGGGTATTAATAACGAAGACCAAGATATTGAAAAGGCTGACAAAACTAAGTCTAATACCTCTAAGACATGAAATTATTATGAAAAGATTGGTCTAATTGATGGGATGGATAAATGTAAATATAATGGTTGTGGAAAATAGTACACATGTAAAGTAGGTGTATCATGACAAAATATAATATTAATTAATCATGTTATAATTTATTTTTCATTGTAAAAGAATAGATTTAATTTTTTAAAATAAATATTTTTAATTTTGCCAATTAGGCTCGATGGCCCAACATGTGCTTGGTTGGGCCAAATAATGGCAGCTCAAAAAATATAGGTCAAACTAGCCAAGCCTAAAATAGCATTTGACTTATGTAAATCAAGTTAGGTTAGACTAACTCAATTTATTTGACACCTTTACCTAAAAATATTTAACACAACTATATACCAAGACTCAAACTCGAAACCACTTATGTACAAAGCTCTTCCATATGAGTTTTTGTAATAAATAATAAGTGAATTTAATTTGTAATATATTTAAATCTTGTTAATTTATTTAATATATTTTTTACTTTTGACATTTAATACTTGCTCCTTATTATAAGACACTTTTAATTGAATTACATAAACAAATATAAGTAATTATGTTGGTTGATTTTATTGAGTTTATAAAACAAAATCATGATATATCAATTTCACCCGTCCTACTTATCATTATATTTATGAAAGGTAAAGATATTACTCCATATAAAGGCTTATGCACCAATACCAATAAAAATGATAAATGATAATTGAAGAGTTTAAAAGGTGTGTGTGAGAGAGAAACACATACTCTCACAATCTTTAATATGGACAAAAAATGAAAAATAAAATTAATACTTTATAGAAATTATAAAGTATCTTATAAAAACGACCAAGGATTCTTTCTAATTGTTTTATATTAAAGATTAGAGGAAATAGTAGGCTTTAAATATTTATGTAAAGCCATATAACATTGTTATATAGTTTTTACTCTACTTAAATATATTATTTTTATGATTAGTGAACATATTTGATTTTGGTCCTTGTATAATTTTCTTTTTTATTTTTTATTCTTTAAAATTTTGAATTATTATTTTTAGTTCCATTAAAATAAGTAAATTTTAGTTTTGGTCCTTGTAAAATATTTTATTTTTATCTTTCTAAAACTTAAAGTCACTCTTTTTGATCCTTAATATTTATTTTATATTTAAGTTAAATATATAATATTTATTTTAATAATTTATATAAAAAAAGAAATATCATATGTTAACATGATATCACGTATAATTGTGGGCGTTATATGAAATTGTCACTTAATCTTCTAATATTCACATGAGTAGTTAACAAAATTTATATCATCGTAACAACTAAAATTATTAAATCCAAATTTTATAAGAAAGAAAAAAAAATAACTTAAATATATTTATGATCATTGTAATATACATGTTTTTGACTTTTGGTCCCTAAAATATTTTTACTTAACTTTTAGTCCCAATAAAATGTTTTTGTCCCTGCATTTTTTTTTACTGTTTATGCATGATGTGTCAAGCATTGAGTGACTACAATACACTTGAATTAGTGGTTAGTTAACGAATACTTCATCAAAAATGCTTAAAAAGTAATTGCAGCGACGAAAAACTAAATAGAAAACATTTTATAGGATCAAAATTAAGGGAAATTTTTTTGTAACTAAAAATGAAAAACAAATATATTACGGGATAAAAATATATTTAATAAAAAAATTAAAATACCAAAATAAAAACTATTCATTTTACATGAACTAAAAACATTTAAGCTCGTACATAATATATACACATTTTTCATATAAATAAAAAGAATTATATTAATTCTTGGAGATTGATAATTAAGCATTACATATTTATGCAAAATAAGATCTTGCCATTAATTATTTATAAATTTCCCTTATAGATATTTTACTCATGAGTAATTTATTCCTTCTAGGGACGGATTCTCTTAGATTTTCCTTGGATTGTTTTTGGTGAAAATTGTAATCCTTAAAATCTCATACATTTGTTTATAGTATTTAAATCCTTTTTTCTTATTTTTAATTAATGATTGGGATTTTGTCAACAAAAATTATCTTATATGAATATCTAAACTCAAGTATTTTTTTTCAATATAAATAACTGCAATATCACTTCTTCATATTAAAACTAAAGGCATTATTGATATCTTATCTTTTACCATTTGCATATTGAAAAAGATAACAAAAATGCAGTTCTCACAACTATTTTTGTTCATTTTCATGGTTTTAGTAATTACTTGCAATGTCTGTGAGTCCCAAAATTGTGCTAATCCACCCAAGACCATTATTGTTAGTAAGTCAAGCAAAGCAAATTTTGAAACAATTCAAAGTGCCATCGACTCTGTTCCTGAACAAAACTCTCAATGGATTCACATCCAAATTTCTTCTGGCGTTTACAAGTAATATTTTGTAAATCTTTATACAATTCTTTCTAATATTTTGTTGAAGAAATAGCTGATAAAGTAAAAAAAAAAAAAACGCTTAATTAATACATTTTTATCTATTAAATTAAATAAGAACATTTTGTAGGAAGTTTTTGAATTATTAATTCATGCATATTCTTTTCTTTGTATGCTTAATTGTGTTAAGTTTGATGTGAACTGTTTGATCTCTTAACATTTATTTTTAGCACATTTTTATTTTGTATTTAATTACAAACTTTTACATTATGTACTATGTGAAATCCAGAGAACAGGTCCAAGTTCCGATGAACAAACCATGCATTTATCTAGAAGGAGCTGGTAGCAAATCCACAAGTATCGAATGGGGTGACCATCTTAATGCCACTTTCTTTTCTAAAGCAAATTATACTATTGCAAATGGCATTACTTTCACGGTATCCATACTTTCACAATACTTGTTTATCACACATCAATTCTATAATAAGTTGTGTAAAAAAGAAAAACTAGTCTTAAAATAAGTGTTATTTTAAAAATTCTTTTCCAATGATATAATTAATAATTAAGTTAATTTAATAAAATTACAATTTATTTATTTATTAACTTTTAATAGTTTGTGCAAAAAAAAACTAAAATAATATTTATTATGAGATGGAAAATGTAGTATAATCATTATTTATTTAAAAATATAATATCTTTTTTTCATTCTCAGAATTCACTCAACACACCGGATCAAATTGCAATCACACAAGCTGTGGCAGCTCGAATTCATGCAGATAAATGTGCTTTCTTTAACTGTGCTTTCTTAGGGGTGCAAGACACCTTATATGATGACTTTGGTCGTCATTACTACCATAATTGCTATATTCAAGGTGGGGTTGATTTCATATTTGGAAATGGTCAATCAATCTTTGAGGTACAATTAACTTCATTTCATATTGTTTTAGTAATATTTTGAGAAAAATTAGCAACACATTATAATATACTATTTTGGATATTCTTTTTAATATTAACTAAAATTTATTAAAAAAAAATAGACTTTTGTGGGTCTCACTTTTATTTAATGAATCTCTCTTAATTTTCTAATTTGTTATAAATTTCAACCAATAATAAAGTATATATTAGAAAAAACGTGTTTCAAACACTCCTCTAATTTTTTTTACTGTTTTAAGAATGCATGTTGAGTTCAAGTTATATGGGCAAATGATTTACTTTTACCCAGCTTCTATACTTTTATTAAAGAAAGACAATTATTTATCAAATTTGAGTCTTTCCTAATTAACATACACATAGTTTATTGATATTCATCACAAGTAGTAATTGACTGTACATTTGTTGTGAACATATAGGCAAGCCAATTATATTTTTCAATGGGAAAAGATGGTCCCAAAAGGAATGGGTGTTTTACAGCACAAGAAAGGGAGTCACCAAATGACACAAGTGGATTTGTTTTTAAAAATTGTTCCTTGAACGGGACAGGAGGACATGCTATACTAGGGAGATCTTTAAAGGCTTATGCAAGAGTCATCATAGCAAATTCATTCCTATCAGATGTGGTATCACCTGAGGGTTGGAATGCTCGTACCTTTGTTGGCCAGGAGTAAGATATTTAAATTTTATGTTGAATTTGGATTTCTTTTATTTTGAATTTGGCTTTTAAAAAGGATGTATTATATAGAAGATAGAGTATAGTTATAATTGTTAATTTAAAAAAAAAATGGTTGAGATTTTAGTAAAATACGCACTCATGTATATAATAAACTTACAATCTCAACATTTAACAATAACTATACTTTACTCCCTTCACTTTAGAGGAATCTAAATTAGACTTTATATTTTCTCTTTCTAAATTTACCTCCTGGTTTAGATGATATGGTTCAGTGATTAATATTATTTTATACATTCATGTGTTGAAACAAACTTAACTGCAGAAAAACAATTACATTTGTGGAGGAGGGAAATTATGGACCGGGAGCAAATAAATCCAAACGTGTGAATTGGGTGAAGCACTTAAGTGGACATGAACTTGATCAATTCCTCGATATCTCATTTATTGATAAAGAAGGGTGGTTTGCAAGATTGCCAGCCAAGATCTTCATTTAAGTTATTGATAAATAAAAAATTGTAAAATTAATTTGCTTGCAACTTTTGATATTCTGTTGGGTTGTGTGATATCTTTCTATCCCAAACCTACTTTTATTAAAAAAAATATGTTTCTTTTTAAATAGAATAAATAAGACAAATCTTTTTATAATATTAGTAAAAGGATTCATACGTATTAATTTTACTAAATTAAAACTCCAATATTAAATAAAGGAAATAAAGTAAGATATAACTTCATAAACGCATGCACAAAACCAACTTTTACAAAACCTCGAAGAAAATGAAACATAATAAGGTAAACACTAAGTCTAACAACGTAGTCCTCAGAGAAGAAACAAATAAACATAAATTGTCTATTAGTCCCAATGTTACACCGATCAAAACAAGACCCATAAAACAAATAAAATCAAAGTCTCAAGCTTCGTCTACCTCGTGCTCAACCTTATATATATATATATATATATATATATATAACTCTTACATGACATCCATCCCAAACAAGAAACATACAACACAAATGATAAAAGGACTGAGAGTATATCTCACACATGTTTAAGCATATATAAAAGTTATTATGGATATCATACTAACACATCACACAACCACAACTCATAAATACAATTCAATCCTCAATAGTTATAATATTCCATTCAACGCATTAAAATCAAAAATCAAAAATGTCATTATTCAATGACTTATGGAACTCATGCACTCCAAACTCTATATGCATGTGATATCAATCTCCAACATCACCAAAGGCACTCCAAATACAAGGCAGCCTAAGAACCATGGACTGGATCACCCCACACTGTGACCCTCTCAATCTACCCTCAACTAAGAGATATCTACGAAGATCCAATAAGAGCATTAGAGTTGGTTGTGGCAACCTCCCATTCTTGTTAGAGGTTTTTTACCATAACACCTCTCTGATGACAATTCCTTGAAGAATGGATAGTGAATTTCTTCAAAAGCTTGCTCCAAGCATCATGGTCCTTCTTTGAGTTGATTCTATGGTTCAAATTGAATGAAAATAGAGGAGAGAAATGCTAGATCATCTGGATTTTGGAAGCACCCTAGCCAAGGAAGCAAAGGATTGCTCACAAGGTTGCCTAGTCTAGAAGAATTCTATGAATCCTTAGAAACTAGACTAAAATGACTTCAAGTTGGAGAGAATTTGTGAAATATGCCAAATATTCTATATGATAAACTCAAAATAAGTACAAGAAGTGGATGAGAGCTTAATTTATAGGCTAAGAGAGAGTGTAATAGGCACCACCAATCATTCTAGGTGCATTCGCACAAAAAATTTTGAAATTCAAATGGAATTTTAATTTCAAAACTTTTAGCTTGCAAATGCAGTCACATGTGTAGCTCTAGTTCCATTTAAGTTGCATTTAGGCTTGATTTGGATGTCATTTGGTGCGGATCAAGTGCAGCCCGCCTTAGGTACCACATGTGCACTAAATGCATCACAAATTAAACCTAAATATGACCTAATTCAACTATCATGCCTAATTAATATTTTCCTCTCACAACCTAATCAAATGGCCAAAATAAAATGGACTAAATATCCTAAACATTAGGAAATAATAAAAGGAACAAATCAAACCCAATATTGGGTACCAAAATACGTAAGGTCCATTAAGTCCACAATAGGCCCAAAAAGCCTAAGGCTCAAAAACCCTAATCCTAAAGCCCAAAATACAAGGATAAGAAAAGTAACATCTACAATAATATAACCTCTACTCTAAGATGAAAAACAATATCTTCAATGGATGGTCCATATAAAGAGCAACATGGCCCACCAAGCCCACTAAACTCTGAACTAGCTAAATCTTTATGTATCCCCTTAGCCATGACTATCATGGTTGGACCATTGGTCCATGCTCCTCCATCAGCCTCCAAGGTCTAGGTAGATGACATAGATGTAACACTGTATGATTTGTATGTTTTATTGATTAATTATATGATGTATTGTTTAATTGTTGATTCATTGTATTTATTGTTGTTTTAGAAATTTAAAGGTCAAATGATCCTTAAGAATTAAGTTGTTGCTGAGTTATTTTTAGATAGAGTGAAGTTGACCAAGTTTAGAGAAGGGTGTTTAAGGTTTTTCTTACGACGTGAACTTCATAAATTTATTTCTTAAGGATAGTTAGAGAGAATCTAGAGCTAGAGATATCTTTTGCTTCTTTTGATTCTTCAAGCACTACTAGAAAAATTAAAATTAGAGAGGGAACAAAATCCGTCACTAAATTATAAATCAAGTCACAAAATAAATTAGTGACGGAATTTGTGATGAAACTGATTTCGTCACAAAATTTAGCGTCACAAAATATTTAGTGACGGATAATTTCAGTCCGTCACAATCAGTGACAAAATTAAGGCATCACTAATTTATAATATTAAATGTTCATAAATTAATAAATTTTCGTCACAAATTGTGATGAATTTAGTGAGAGACTTTTTCCCGTCACAAATTTGTGACGGAATTTGTGACCCCGTCATAAATTTGTGACGGATTTACTTCATCACAAATTTGTGACGGATTTGTAATTCCATCACAAAATTGTGACGGATTAAATCCGTCACAAATTTGTGACGAAATTTGTGTCGTTGATAGGGATGTTGGCCTCTCAATAGAAGGGTCTATTTCACAACATTTCATTTTTTATCGTGTTTTATCCTTGCTTGCACAATTTCTGGGAGACTTTCCAGAAGGTCAGCTATCCCTATATTACTCCAAGTCAAGCACGCTTAACTATGAAGTTCTTATGAGATAAGCTACCAAAATGTATATGCATGTTGTCAGTATAACTTGTACAAATTAATTCATTTAAGTCATCCTCAACTATACAATCTCATACTTGTACTATAATTATAATATATAACAATTTTATATTACGAATAATAATAATAATAATGATAATAATAATATATTTAATTAATCTTTATTTATTACTTACTTTTATAATTAACAATCTACTTATTTCTATTCTGCCTAGAAACATAAGCTACAACCTTTCCTTCTTGCATCAACAGTCCACCCAAATCCGTCTTTGAAGCATCACTATATACCACAAAAGACTTACTAAAATCCAGTAATATTAACATTAGTCAATCTTTCCTTAAGAATTTGGAAACTACTCTCACATGTACTATCCCACAAAAAGACAACACTTTTCCTAGTCAATCTAGTCAAAGGTAATGCTATCTTAGAAATTTCTACAATAAATCTCCAATAATAATAAGCTAACCTAAGAAAACTCCTAAACTCACTAACTAACTTTGGTATCTCCCACTTAAGCACAACTTCTACTTTAGATAGATCTATGTTATACCTCCGCTACAAATTATAGGACCTAGAAAACTCACCTCATACAATCAAAAATCATACTCAGATAACTTAACATAAAGTTATCTTGGATATATCTTCACCCTCAACTCCAATATGATGATGTCACACCTTAAGGTCAATCTTACTAAACACACAAACATCCACTAATTGATCCATAAGGTCCATCTATCCTCATATCAACGTACATGCATATCAAATCATATTAGAATACCTACTTTAAACATTCATATATACCATCCCTAAGCATGTGCGAATCAATCACCATTTACTCCATATAGCATGTACATGAACCAACTTTACCACATAGCATCATACAACCTTAAACAACCTTTCAATCCACATGACAACACCTCAAAACATCATAACCAAATCAGTTTTTATCCTTGCATTGCCTAACAACTCAAAAATATTATGACAGCATACATCTCCCTTCAACAACTATCAAAGAAAATGACACATAAAGAGTTATACTCATACAAATAGGGTAAAACCTATCTCAAAAGAAATATAAGATAATAAGCTACAAATCCTATGAAGACATGCGATTTAAAAAGATCATCTTCTTAGCTAAAAATTTTAAAAATCGCAGCAGATATATTCAGCGCTTACAACTATACCTTTGTTCACTAAAACAACCATAACTGGAGTTCTAGATCTTCGTTTTACATGATTCTAGTGTCATTGGAAAAATAACATCCAAGGTTACAACTTTTATGAAGACCATAAAAGCTAATTCTATCAATATAGCACTTGTACTGGCTTGACAAAACTGCAGCGAAAACATCCCCTGCACCAGACAACAAAAGAGTGCACCAAAGTCCAAGACCATGAAAATACCTTATAATACTTCTAAACCCACTCTTTTCCATCCCAAACTCATATCCAAGCTTCCCACCACAATCCTAAACCAAAGAAACTCACATATTTAACACAAAAGACTCAAAACTGAACTAAAACCCACATGCAACCCAAACCATATAAAGGTTAACATGCAAGCATCAAAATTGAAAGAAATCACCAACATTTCAATCTCTCATCAAGAATTCCCAAAATCCCATTTTTCAACCTACAACCTCTTTGAATTCATTCCCACAAATATAGATTTTGGAAACTCCATCAATCATAAACTCTTAATACACTCGACAAATCAATGTCTCACCCACATCCAAGGTTCCAATAGTTTTTAGTTGATTAGGACGGTGCTTCATCCACTACTACTTGTACATATGCTCGCAACACAAGCGATACCACTCAACCACTACTTCTTACGTAAGCAAGAAGTATCAAAACAAATAAGAAATCATGAGAATGAAGAAAAGTAATATAAATAGCATTAACTAAGCTATACCATGTCTACTAGTCATCTTCTACGAAGAGAAACGCCCAATTAAGTATAACAACAACAACACAGAAAACATCATTATTATCACAAAGCAAAGCATCATCAAAGTACACAATAAGCAAAACACTATCAAAGTACACAACAGAATCATGATAAGCACATGACACACAAGTCCAATTTGAATCAACCAAGCTTTGATACAACTAAATGTGACACCCTCTACCCAACATTCGTAATTACACAATTAATAAGAATAATTAAAATCCTTCATAAATAAAACCAAAATCTCAAATATCTTACGTAGAGGATTCACATTCATAAACTTATAAATAATATCTCCAATGCGAAAATTACAAAGGAAAGAAATTGAGATTTTCAAAATAGTTCAATGGAAACAACATCCTAAATTAATCCTAACTCTGCCCCGA